AAAACAATTGAACTTACGGAGATAGGATGGTTGTGGGGGTGGAGGGGAAGTGGGGATAGTTAATGGGTACAAAAATATAGTTAGATAGAATATATAAGAGCTGGTATTTTTCAGCACAATAAGGTGACTACAGTTCACAGTAATTTATTGTATACTTAAAAATAACGAAAAGCATAAAATTGGAATGTTTGTAACAAAAAGAAATGATAAATGCTTGAGGTGGTGAATACCCCATTTACCCTGATGTGATTATTATGCATTGGCCTGTTTAAAAATACCTCATGTACCTGATAAATTTATATACCTACTATATAACCATAAAAATTAAAAATTAAAATTAAAAAAGTGGTCATTTTATATCTGCTTGTAGTATTTTCTAGGTTTTTACAATACACGTGCACTGCTTCTATAATAATTTCTATGGAAAATTTATAACTTTTCTGTGGTATCAATAGATGCATTCATATTACTTCATCATAGAAAATTTGTTAGAAAAGAGACAGATACCGACATGAGTGGAAGCTAAGGGGAAACTAAGGGGAAACTGGGGGTTTATAGAAAAAGGTCTCAACTTTAATTCTTTTTCCAAAAGCCTACACAGCACCCGGTATTCCCAGGCCGTCTCCCATACAGGTACAACCAGGCCCGACCCTGCTTAGCTTCCGAGATCAGACGAGATCGGGTCAACTTTAATTCTTTAACTCTTTATAATACTTTGAATTTATCAAGATACATTTACTGCCTTTCATGTCATTTCACATACACAATGTTGTGCACTAAAAATGTTGTCCTGACTTTTTCTCACTGGAGGCATTACAGCTCTTCTCTTTATTATTAGATAGCTCAGTGTAAGATGTACTTTGCTAAATAAACTCACAAAGCATGAAGAATTCTAGATACCGCTGCATAATAATCAACCTGTTTCCTTTTCACCAGGAAGGGTCAAGCTTAATGGTTGTTAGGATCACCACTATATATGCAAATTGGATCTAAATGCAACCATTTTAGAATATACATATTCACACTCTAATTGCCTTAAAAGTGAGTCAAGGAATATAAAAATTACTTTCACTAAGAGAGTACTCAATTTCAGTTGAATATACAGCAAGCCAATTTCATATCATTTATTTCCAATTTCATAAGTTATATTATTTGAGAATTGTTCATGTTTTAGATTTAAGACTGATCTTCCAAAAGTCCAACTGTTTTTTTCTAATTGCATTTGAGGTTTTGTGGTGCATGTGAAGAACATGCAAGATTGTTGCATAGGTACACACATGGCAGTGTGATGTGCTGCCTTCGTCCCCATGACCTATATCTTGCATTTCTCCCCATGCTATCTTTCCCCAACTCCCCACCCCCCACTGTCCCTCCCCTATTTGCCCCCGGACAGACCCCAGTATGTGATGCTCCCCTCCCTGTGTCCATGTGTTCTCATTGTTCAACACCCGCATAAGAGTGAGAACATGCGGTGTCTGACACAAAAACAGAAAATCAAACAACTTTTTTAAAAACAGAATATCACTTGGCATATTGAACATTTACTTATTTGGTCAGAGTCAATTAGATCTGGAGGTTAAAAATGTATGAGTTTGGGCCAGGCACGGTGACTCACGTATGTAATCCCAGCACTTTGGGAGGCCTAGGCGGGCGGATCACCTGAGGTCAGGAGTTCGAGATCAGCCTGACTAAATGGAGAAACCCCATCTGTACTAAAAATACAAACTTAGCCAGGTGTGGTGATGCATGCCTGTAATCCAAGCTACTCGGGAGGCTGAGGCAGGAGAACCGCCTGAACCAAGGAGGTGGAGGTTGCGGTGAGCTGAGATCACACCATTGCACTCCAGCCTGGGCAACAAGAGCGAAACTCTGTCTCAAAAAAAAGGTATTGGTTTGAAGCCCACCTCTGATTGGCCGCATAACCTTAGGCAAGTTATCTAGCTTAGCTAGATCTCAGTTTTGTTTTGTTTTTTCAATCTATAAAATGGAGAAAACACTATTTACCTCAGAGAGTTGTGATGATTAGATGAGATTATGCTGCCTGTTACATGGCACACTCAATAAATATCCATGACAATGATGGTGATGACTCTCGTAATCCTGACACGCGATTCCAGTCCATATATCCCAAGAATGTTGAGGACGCTCCTTTACATCTCCACATGGATATCTGATAGGTATCTCAGTCTTCCCTGACATAGCAAGGCTACTGTTCTCACTTCAGCCTGCTTCTCCCCTGGGGCTCCTATCTCAGTAACCCAGGAGTCATTTTTGAGGACCTCAACCTAGCAGTCATTTCTATCCTCTTTTTTCACACATGGCAGCAAATTCCTATGAGCTCTATGTTCAATCTATTTTGGTCTTACCGCTTAGATAGGTCTACGGCTACCACACCAGTCCAAGTCAGCATCATCTTTAGCCTGGGCAACTGCAGACACTCTTGCTTTAACTCCCTGTTTTCACTCGTGTCCTCTAGACTCCTTTAGTCTATTTCTCACTTAGTTACCAGAGTGAATCTTTAAAATGTAACCCAGGTGATGTCACTTACCTGCTTAAAAAAATCCTTCAATGGCTCCCCATCACATGTAGAACAAAATTCAAAGCCCTTCCCTGTCCAAAAGACCCTAAGTGATAGGACTTCTGTCAACCTCATCTCCTAGCACCCTCCTCTCTTGCTCAGCTGCAGCCATCCTGGCCTCCTTTGCTTTTCTGTGAGCATCTTGAGATGGCAAGACACACCTCTGCCTCTGCGCCCTTAGATATGTCAGTCCTTCTGTGTGACACATTTCTTCCCAGATAGCTGCATGGCATTGCAGCTCACTCCTCTGCTCAAGTATCAGGCTTTCCCTGGACACTCCATCAAAAGAAGTACCTCCATAGCTCTATTTTTCTGTATGGCATTGTCATGACTTATTTGATATGTGTGTGTGTGTACATGTACTTGTATGTATATAAACATAAATTCATTTATAGTTTGTCTCCCAACTCATACATAAGGTCAATAAAGGTGAAGCCTTCATTTTATTCACTGCTGGATTCCCATTGTCAGGAATGATGCTTAGTATCTTGTAGGTATTAAAGAAATACTTTTCAATACATGGAGAGTTTTTCTTGTATTAAAATTGGTTTGGATTTGGCGAAATGAGCCCTAAACAAAATTGTATTAAAATTAGTTTGGATTTAGCTAAGTACTCCACTACCAAATGAGCCCTAAACAAAAAAGCAAGAAAGAAGTTACATAGGATTAGTTCTTTTATGTTCTGTGTACCTTGCAGAAACCTGTTTGAAAGCTGGGGCCCTACAATTCTTTATTTTTACTCAGGAAACTGAGTAAGATCTTTTATTCAGGAAATCTAGGGGCAGTGTAACAGAAAAAGTTCCTTTCACTTCATTATGGTGCTGGAAGATGTAAGTATTTAAAACAATACAAAAAGTTTCTGCATTTAAAATAATCAGTGATTACTTGAATGAAATATTTTTTAATAAGTGAAAAGAGAAAAATTTCCCAGGTTTTATTTATTATTACATGGCTCTATATAAAGAAATTATGATATTTTGGGATAAAATTGTTTTGAGACTAAAAGAAAAAATTCACATCAGAGGCTGAGTGAGGCAGCTGGCAAGGCACAGTGGCTCAGGCCTATAATCCAGCTCTTCTGGAGGCTGAGGCAGGTGGATCACTTGAACTTAGGAGTTCAACATTGGCCTGGGCAACATGGCAAAAGCCTATCTCTACTAAAAATACAAAAATTAGCTGATGCAGTAGCAAGCATCTGTAGCTACTCGGGAAGCTGAGGCACAAGAATTGAACCTGGGAGGCAGAGGTTGAAGTGAGCCGAGATAGTGCCACTGCAATAAAGCCTGGGTGACAGAGTGAGACTCTGTTTAAAAAAAAAAAAAGAGGCACCTCAGAGTGTCGATAAGCTAAAAAATAATCCTCTCCCTCAACAATTATTTTTTAGAAATTCCCAACTGTGGCTAAATGGTTTGGCACAGCTAAATACATGAGGCTCAAATTCACCAAAAAAATGAAGTTGTTTTAACCTACCGTATGTTTAAATTATGATGGCTACTATGAGCCATAAAATATTTTATAATAAAACTGTCGATTCTAATCAATACAAAGCAGTGTATGAATAACATTCCAGCCACTAACCCTCTGAACATCGATGACTTTATCTGTGCTGTTTTTATGGCACTTAATCACTTGTTATATTTTATTTGCAGGTAGTGGCATTTCTGGACATAGGATTTTTGTGTTTCATCTTTGCGGCTCTTACAATGTTAGCACAATGACTGGGCTACTCAGTACATGTTTTCTGAATGAAAGAATGAATAAATGAGGGGGAGGGCTAAAGTTCAGGAATAATGGCAGTAAATACTGCATACATATAATAGTGAATATATATTTGGAGAGTGCTAAATAAGCCCAATTACTGCTTTTTTATATCATATCCTATGAAAGCAACATATAGAGACTTAGACACATCTATAAATGTCGTTTATGTGCACTCTATTTTGCATCCCAGTAATGATCACAACCATCATAAAGTAATCATTCATGTAGTCACATTCTTAAGTCTGTCTTCTCCACTTTAAATCCCAGAGGGTAAGGACTGCATATGGCTTCTGAGAGCTTCAGCATCTCACAATAGTGGGGGCCCAATAAATATATTTTGAATAATGAATGCAGTTAGGGCTGCGTCACTACATAACTTGCACATGACTGGGCCCCATTTTAGTTGAGTTTACCAGGCTTCTCACAGCTTCACAGAATCTAAACATTTATTCTTCAATGGTTTTAGGATACACACTTTTTCACATGCATCTTACAGTTGATAGTGTCTTAGTACCATGTATAAATTAAACAATAGTATTTTTTTCTTTCTCAGTATTACACAAAATAAGTCTTAAGAAATGATAGTATTTTCCAATCAATGAAATAAAGTTACTGTCAATTTCATTTTAGTATGGAAAAGACAAAAACTTCAAGTACTCACATCAATTAAATCGGAAAGATCATGTATATAATACTTGAAAACTGAGGCATTGGTGGCTTCAAGTGTTAGGAGATATTCGTTCCGTGCCTTAATCGATTTTAGCTTATTTTCCGAATATTTTGCTTGTCTCTGGAATGAAGAAGATCCAGGCATTGAGAAAGAAAGCAAAGTCATTTTTAATCAAGACAGAGAAAGATACATGAATTTTTATTAACTGTAACAATTTATTCCACATATAAAAATGACCCTCAAAGTCTTCTGCCAAAAGTACATTTTGAATCTAATTTAAATAGCAAACTAAAATTACCCAGCTATGGGGAATAATAACAATGTATTTGGGCTTCAGGCCCATTTGCAATGAAATCTCCTTGTTAATATTCAAGTTCTCCACACTGTGTATTGAATACTTGGCATTCACCACTAAATGATGTCCAGCTGTTATTACATGATTTTTACATTTCTTAGACATTTCTCATTCCCATGGGAGGAAATGCATGTCATTTCACAATAATTTACAATGTGTGGATATCAGCTATTGCATCAGTGTTCTTAATATTGTCTCCTCAAATGAAGGCAGAAGAGCTCTGCAGTATCTTTTTACTTACTTTTTCTTTCATTTTTTCAATTTTCTTTACAGAGCTTCGCCGTTGATGTCTCTCCTCTAGTCGAATATGGAACACTGGATCACCAGATCTTCCAATCTGTTTTTCCTCTTGTTTTTCAGCCTCTTTCAGCTTACTCTCTGCACTGATGCTCTCTGCATGATACATATGGTATGTTTTCATCACCTGTGGAAAAGTGACCCAAATCATTACAAGATGTCTGTCTGTAATTTAGAGAGTGAATGGGAACCATTTATAGGACATATACGATATACATATCACCTTCCAAATGGCAGAGGGGAAAAGTCAGGTTGTTAGTAAATAAGTGAATTATGGACTACTGCTTCTACATAAGGCACACAGAAATATGCAAATTCATATACCAGGAAAAGGCACTTAGGGGACAGGATATGATGAGAAAACGATTTACAGAGTCTTATACATATTTTTCAATGTACTTCAAAAGTTCTCTTAAAAGTATTTCTGTAAACTCTCCTCTACATTATTAATTTGCAGAATAAACCATTTATTCATGGATCAATTTTAGCCCTACCCAAACCCAAATTAGTATAGTCATTATTAAAGGAATTTTATTGCACAAAATCTACCTGTCAAAGTAAAAAATGTAAATATTAAGGTTCATACATAGTTTGAGTTGAAAAAAACATTGTTTTTCTGACCACGAATACTTTATGTTCAATCAAGAAAACATTTATTTTCTTTAAAAGACAAAAACAAAAAACAAAGAAAAATAGGCTGGGCATGCTGGCTCATGCCTGTAATCCCACCACTTTGTGAGGCCAAGGTGGGCAGATCACTTGAGGTCAGGAGTTTGAGACCAGCCTGGCCAAGATTGTGAAACCCTGTATCTAGTAAATACCAAAAGTTAGCCAGGTATGGTGGCACACCTGTATTCCAGCTACTCAGGAGGCTGAGGCAGGAGACTCACTTGAACCCGGAGGTTGCAGTGAGCTGAGATTGTGCCACTGTGCTCCAACCTGGATGACAGAGCAAGACTCTGTCTCAAATAATAATAATAATAAATAAATAAAATAAAAAGCAATCAAGGATAATCACTATCAAGATTTTAGTATACAGCCTTCCAGTCTTCTTCCTATCAAAATACACACCCACATATGCCCCCCTGCCACACACACACATATTTCTTCCTTTAAAAATGCCATATATGCCTGGCTACTGTAGTGAGAAAAGGGGACTTAGTTAAAACTAAAGTCGGGGCAGGGCACGGTAGCTTCATGCTTGAAATCTCAGCACATTTTGGAAGGCCAAGGTGGGAGAATTACTTGAGCCTAAGAGTTTGAGACCAGCCTAGGCAACACAGTGGGACCCTGTCTGTACAAAAAAAAAAAAAAAAAATTAGCTGGACCTGGTGGTGCATGCCTGTAGAGCCAGCTACCTGGGAGGCTGAGTCAAGGGGATCACTGAGCCTGGGAGGCGGAGGTTGCAGTGAGCTGAGACTGTGCCATTGTACTCCAGCCTTGGTGACAGAGTGAGACCTTGTCTCAAAAAAATAAAATAAAATATAAATAAATACATACATAAATAAAATAAAATGCCATATATGATTTCTCTCTTTAAAAAACTGAGCTCATCCTGTATTTATAATTTTTAGATGGTAATGTCTTTTGCCACTTATATATCAGAGCACATTTTCCTATGTCATTAAATATTCTTCTAAACATAATTTTAAGTGCTACATAGTAAGGTCGGGCCCAGTGGCTCACGCCTGTAATCCCAGCGCTTTGGGAGGCCAAGGCGGGTGGATCACGAGGTCAAGAGATCGAGACCATCCTGGTCAACAAGGTGAAACCCCATCTCTACTAAAAATACAAAAATTAGCAGGGCATGGTGGTGCATGCCTGTAGTCTCAGCTACTTGGGAGGCTGAGGCAGGAGAATTGCCTGAACCCAGGAGGCGGAGGTTGCGGTGAGCCAAGATCGCGCCATTGCACTCCAGTCGGTAACAACAGTGAAATTCCGTCTCAAAAAAATAAATAAATAAAATAAAAAGTGCTACATAGTATTTTTCTATATGATTGTGCCATAATTTAATTCCCTATTGTTAAAAACTTTAGGATATCTCAACTATTTGCTTTAAAAAGTTGTGTTGAAAACCTTTGATGTATATGTCATTTCTTCTCTTAGAAATGACATATGTAATTTGAATTTTAATTAATTTAGGGATATATAGAATATACAAATTTCATAATATAAAATTTATACAATGAATCCTCAATTATTACATATTTTGGTTATATTGTTGTTACAAAAATGTTTGTGTACAAAACTGTGTCGTATTTTCTAGGACAAATTTTCAGAAATAGAATTGCAAGGTTAGAGCATATGCACATTTTTGACACTTAGTTATATATTGCCAATTTTACACTCGGCTAATTAAAGCCAACTCATCCATAGCATTATCTCTGAAAGTATTTCAGACAACATAATTGTTTGATAAATATTTTCTCAAATAATTATTCATTATTTGTATAATAGTATCTATGAATCTTTATGTAATCTCTGTATTCTTAGATACAAGAGAATAACAGATTTCAGAGTCACAGATTTTACCTGAAAATCATAATTTTTCCAATATAATTTCAATATGCTTTCATATGTAGTCAGGTATCTGGGTGAATTAAAAAACCTGTATATTTTGAGCACAATTATGCTCCTTAAAAGAAACAACACATGTTAGGTATGATGACTCCAATGCAAAGGATGTAACAAGGAGCATAAGCAAACTCGGCACCCAGTGCTAAACATTCATGGCAGAACTTTCTTATAAATGATGTCAAATTCTCTACTGCAGAAGACAGACTTCATTTCATATGCAAATAACCACGTTATTCAGAGCCAATTTGATAACTAAGGTGTAGGAAGTTGAGAATAATGCAATGTTTTCAAGTAATGAATCTGATTTTTCTCATTTCAAGGATGAGTTTTTAAATAGTTTGAGACCTGGAAGCATCACTGGAATAAATATATTTATTTAGGTTAACCCATATGAAATTGCTCTTTCTGTAGGTTATTAAAAAGGTGGAAAATCAGCACTTTCTTATGGTTCAACTCAACACATAATCTCAAGATAACTATTTTGAAGAGTAAGACATGGGGGTTAATGAAGAACCTTTACTTATTTTCATAAAATCTAATGATGGCTTTCCTTAAAAATGTAAGCTAGTAAATCATGTCGAAGACATTACAGAGCCAGAACAAAGTAAGGGGTAAACTACAAAGCACTGGCAGCTTTTTCTCAGCCGTGTGTAACTGGAAAGTTGTCTGTTTTTAGCAATTATTGAACCTGTCTGGGAGAAGTTTGGTTGGCTACTTCAGTTTAAAAGAAAAATAAAATAGCAGTAGGAAGCAGCTCAGCAGCTGGGAAATGAAAAGGGAGTCACCCTGCAGCTGGGCAAACAGCAAGGCCAACAAATCTACACATACCTTGCATTTACTTCTAGACTTGGCTCTGTTATTCCCTGCCTGAAGCAAACCCACACACTATTATATTTGGGTCTTGGTTCCAGTTACACCTTAAAATGAGAGGGTGTACACACACACACACACACACACACAAACACACACACACACACACTGCTCAGCTCTCTGTATTCTTGCTAATAGGAAAGAGGAGATGAGAACACGTGACTCTCATCACACTTGGATGAAAAGGTACCCTAGGCCACCCTGAGTATCTGAGAAATATTTCTTTTAAATATATTATCACAAAGAAAAAGCCTGAACTTCTGACGCTTGCTTGACTTGGACACTGAGGACTAGCACAAACAGGTAATTTGCATAAACTAAGCCTTAGTATAAGAGAAAGGATACTGCGCAGATTGCCAGCAGGGTGTTCCTTAGACTAGTCTGAGTTAAAAGGAAAACATTTGAGTCTGACCTAATGCTGGAAAGAAAAGAGTGTATCTCATCATTACGTGTTTTGCACAATAGCTGAGGATTCTCTACCTAGTTCAGTGGTGATTTCCAGAAAGCAAATTTCTTTGTTGAATTTGACTTAGGGTTTCCACTATTCACTAAAATGTTAACAGTTACAATGAATGCATTTTAAAAGTTGGGGAGATAAACACTAAACACTTTTCTAGAACTCAAATTACAGATAATGAGCACAAGTAAAAACTGTATTATTCAAAATGTAAGCTGTTGACAGAAGTCAAATATATTTTGTATTTAAAATAAAATAACAGACAGTTCTCTTTTTCAGAGAAGTTAAAAAAAGCTTTCATTTTTTTTAACAGGTGCATTTTGAATACATACTCAAAGAAAATAACAGCTTCACCAGCTTAACACAAACACAAGCCTTTGCATACCAAATGACCTGACAGACATATAACCATGTAAATGTACTCCCATTGCATATTTTCCTGTTTGAATTCTTCTCTACTAAAACTTCATGCATAATTCTCCATTCAACACAGCTAATTTATCTTTCTTGCTCCATTTTTCCTCAACTGCTGAAAAAACAGTCAGCTAGAAAATGACCCACATCATAAATTTCTTTAGGAGATTGGGATATCCTAATGATAACTTGCAGAGAAGTTAATGTTTTTTTCTTATTGACACACCCATATCATGTATCTGACAGTACTCTTATAGTTTAAATCAAAATAATGAAAATACCTGTAGCAAATTTAATACTTAGTGTTAAGAAATCATTATCTATCTGAAAACTACATACGTGTTGGATAAGATCAATATATTAATGCTATAGTTTCTGCTTTTTGACTACTAGCTCAAAAGTTAGAAGACAGGGATCCCAGGAATGGATCTACACTTACTAGGTGTGGGGAAGTTATTTAATGCCTCTGCTTACTTTACAAGGTTGTCATGGATGCCAAATTGTGTGTCCCTGTGTGTGTGTGTTTTAATTTAAATTTTATTGCGTATTTAATATGTTATATCTATGTACACAATATATACAGTATCACTAATACAGATATGTACATATATGTGTCTAATTTACTTTAGCAAGTATTATATAATGCTTACTACTTGCTAGACATAGTTTTAAGCATTTTATAAACAACATATGTACTCCTTCTAGGAACTCTTATGAAGTAGGTACCTCTATCCTTCCCTTTATGCTGATGAAAAAACTGAGGCATAGAGAGGTTACATAACTTGTCCAAGGTCACACAGCCGGCAGAG